CAATTACAGAGAGAGGGCTGCATGTGAATCATTAATTTAAACATTCTAATTCTCAGATGAAATCAATGGAATTCGTTTCTTAAAGAAACAAAGTGGATGCTAAAAGGCAACAAGATGATCATCTTACCCTATTAATGGAAGAGCATGGTGGCCAATCATGGAGGCTTCCCATGTGAAAGTTTTTGGAGCTGATGTTTCCATGTCAAGGCAATTAAAATTACTCTTTTTTAGATACCTACTCTCGTTAATTTATTTAGCTATAATTAATTATCTCTTATTGGCCCCCTCTAATTAAAAGTGCCCTTTTTCTCCCAAAAACAATGCTATTTTTCCTTCCAGAAAGCTATGGACAAACATTATTTTATTTACAATTTAAGGCCCTGTTTACTTTCATTTCTGTTTCCTGTTTTTGAGAAAACAGATGTTGAAAACAGGTGAAAACAACATTTTGTCGTTTCCGAAAACAGCAGGAAGTTGCCACTTTCTGTTTTCATAGTTGGAAACGAATAGAAAACAGAATGAAAAGTAAACAAGTTTTCTCGTTTTGGTTGCCAAATTTATGACATGAAAACAGAAAACAGGAAACGAAAATGGAAGTGAACAGGGCCTAAGCTTTTCCAGCACCATCAATTTTGGAGATTGAGACTAAATGAAAAGAGAAGGAAACTAGCTAGGGCAAGAAAGAAACACTTGGAAAGAGGGCAATCATCGAGTCCATATCTTCTAATTTTTCTATTTGTTTTTCAATCATTGCACTACTATTTCTGTTTTGTTTTCCTAACATATTTTGTCGGCAAGGATTTATGTGCAAAATAGTTATCATTCTTTTCATTTTAACTTGGATTTTTATAATAAAAAAACTATATATTATTGGAATTTGTAAATATTACTAATGAAAAGATACGGCTACATCGTTCAACTTCCACAGATCAATTAAAAACACGGGAAGTTTGTTTACCGTATTCTCTCTCAACGTTTGATCTAAGGTTGTAATGAGTGTATTCAGTTGTGGGAAGTTGTTGCAATTCGTCATTTTCAGCCTCTTCTCACTTTAAGTTCTAGCTTCGCCATTGATCATGCCAGTGCTTTAGAAAGTCGCCATGAACCACTATTGTTGCTTTATTTCATATTCTAGGTGTGGTGATTGGGCTTCTCATCAGAGGATGAGAGAAGTAATTCATATGAGATCAGTTCGGTTGATCGAAAGTGTGAAGTGAGAATTGATAGCTTGATTATGACCCAAGCTAGCTAGGAAAGGCAACTTGTTGGAGTTGGAGTACTCCAATAATCCTAATGTGATATATACTACTAGTTGTTGTGGGTGCACTGTGGGATAAAAGCCCTGAGTTTGATGAAAATCTTCAGGAATCGAAAACTTCAACATGTTGAGTCTCTATTGATAAAATCTTCAGGAAAGATTATGAGAATTTGAAAGAGGATATAAGATTTTGATACTCGACTTTACTAGAGTTGTTGACTTGTTGTTACCATGTTATCGAGCTTCCATGTTTCTCCGTGACAATCTCCGCTCGAAGGATATGAAAATCATGATCCTTAAGAACATCGATTCCCAATTTATTCGTCATTTATATTTTATAGTGTAGCACGAGTCAATTACCTAGTTACATGGTAATATGAGCCCAGTAATGAATAAAAGGATGGCTTCAATCTCAAAGGTAGAAAATATAAGAATGTTGCTACTTCGCACCATCTATCATTACCTAGATTCGCAATCTGTGCTTAACAAAAAAAAAAAGAGAATAATACAAATACATAATTCTCCATCCAATTCATTTCCTGCTATTTTGTGAACAAGGTATATCCTTCAATCGTTCTCGGAAGCAGATCGAACCGGCATGGAGTAGTTTCAGTATGAAATAGCAGTCAAAATTGAGGGAACTAGTGGTCTAACCGCTTTTTGGCTTCAGATAAAATGCCGTGATTTTGGTGAATTTAATTGAAAAAGATTGTGTATTTAAACATGTGAATTTATCATTCTTTTAATGTTGTATTTTCTTTAAGTATGGATGTTGATGTTATTTGTTGAATTAAAATATGAAGGCTTGATGTCGAGGTTAAATATTGCATAGAAGTATGAAGATTTGTCATTTTGTTTTCAATATTGTATTTTTTATTTATTAAATGTGGATGTAGATTGTTTTGAGAAACGATATATGTGTTTTGAGATAGCTCCTTGCCAGTTATATACCTCCATCGGTTGGTAATGGAAGAAGTATTGCCAAAATATATTCGCTTTAGATTCACATAGTTTTTGCATTAGTGACTTCATAAGACTTCACTCATTTTTGCATTGTTCTAAAATAAGTACATTTAACTTTCTTCATTTCGCTTGTCAATTAAAATCGGGTTCTTATTTATGAATTATTGAACTCTCCCCTTCTGCGCAGCGATGAAGTCGATCGAGCCAATATGTTGTTTTGACCCCCCCAAAATATTTTCCCTACGTAAAAAATTCAGCTACTATTGTACAATCACACTCCAAGTATAAGCTAATAGCTTTTGTTAACATGACGAGGATGTACAAATAAGCTAACTATTATAAAATTGGGTAAACCTCATGAAACTAATGATGTTGAGACCTAACCAAACCTTTCGTTTTTTAATTTGTCCCCTTCTCTCTAGATAGTGCTAAAATATGATTAGCAACATTAACCTTTGTTTTTAATTTGGACTCTTATTAAGCCTTAGGAAATTGGGAGTTTCTACCGTCTTGTTTTAACAACCCTAGCTTATTTTAGTGATACAATTGCTTCTCCTATTGGCCTAAAAAGTTGAATCCCACTATGCTCATGCGTGTGCTGTATAATGTAATACGAGAGAAACCAAATTCAATAATGCCAAGTGTTTTTGTTTCAAAGGTGCCATTCATGTCATTACCCAAATCGAGTACTTTTGTGTTTAGTGATGTAGATTACTTTTTGTGGTTAGGTGCTACTTAATAGAATAGAACATCAGATCTCATCTTTAAAGCTAGTGATATTATCAATAGATTAGCGCCTCTTGTTCGTCACATTGGACCTGTCTGTAAAATTTTGAAAATTTATATTTTACCACCAAAATGTAATTTTACTACCAAAATTTCTGGACCTATTTGTGAAAAAAAAAAGTTTAGGTACTAAAGAATCAAACAAAGAGAATCAGAAATGGATCAGATCAATTTTCAACCTTACCTATCTCATGGCCGAAACCTGCCCTACATACTAATTAACAATTTTTTTCCGGATATATGTGCCGACATCATGCATCTAATAATTTGTTCATCCGTCTTAACTCTTAATGGATGTTCTGTTCCCCATTCCTTTTTGTTCTGTTCCATTCAGTGTCTGCAAATGCTAACATGAAAAATCACTTTCTTTCACAAAAACAAAATACCAGCAGCAACAACGCAAATTCTTTTTGGAGCCTTTTGGGAAGAAAGTAGAAAGCATAGCAACAACGCAAATTGCACGTATGATCTCACCTACCGAACGCGGAATCCATAATCTTCTTCAATCACCTAATCCGTTTGTTGTGCATATGCATATTTTTTTCCCCTGATTTGTTAGGGCATGTGTTTCTTCGTCGTCATGATAGAGTATTGGTACTATGTTATGATATGTTATGATAATTAATTATTTGTATAATGTGTTACTGTTGAACGTGTCGTAAAAATTCAAAAATTTCCTTTTATCTTTTTTTGATTTTTGATTGGAGAGCTAAGAAAGAAGGAGGACAGGATGGTGAGCAGGTATCTCAATAGTCGTACATATTCTTCTGTAGCAACACAAAATAAAGATTGACAGATAAATGGAGATTGGAGTTGGAATTAAAGCTGACGATCCTAACGCTATTAAGTGAGAGTTACAATATGTACTGTTATTTTGAGTAATCTATAGTGTACCATACATGTTAGGTTTTCTATTCTGAAATAAGAGTAATCTATATATATTGAGATTAAACTAAGGAATGGATTTAGGATTTACTATAAATGTCCAATAAATTTGCTTTAGTTTGTAGAATATTTAGGTTTGAAAAAGTTAAAGGGTTCATTTACAGCAATTTGACTATGGTGCTCATAATTTTCTTATGAGCATATTCTCAAACACAATTTTCTTTACCCTCCCGATATTTGACAAGACCCCTTAAGTTAAACTCCCTAATTAATATATCATAATTTTTTAGAAAAATTTTCTAAACAAACCCGATGAAATCGTTTTTTAATATAATATGACTAATACTAATATTTGTTAGATATTTTTTATAATATTTGTATAAAAGACTACACATGAAATATTTGTGTGCATTTTAGCGCTGAGTGTGCTAAAGACTATAAACCATATAGTGAGATTGAGTAAGCAAAGTAAAAAAAACTTTGTAGATTCTATAATTCTCAAAGTCAATATTATAAATTATTGAATGGGAAATGGGCAGGGCCCAATCTGCTCCTTAAATTTTTTTCGTTTTTTGCCTGGAGCCCACGGGCTCGAGTAACTCAGTCCAATTTCTTGCAACTCATATTGGGCCCTTCATACGACGCCATTTCACCACCACAAAAGAAACAGGCCAATTATCTAGCAGTGAGCGGCTGAGAGTGATTCCTCTGTTAGATGAAGTTTTGGAAATTGGATTGACTATCCTCACTTCTAAAGTAAGTTCAAGTTTTGTCATTGTTCTTGAATATCATTATGTTCTTCAACTTGTTCAAGCCTTACGTTCCCACATCCCAACCACATCACAATTTGTTGATTTCTTAAATCAAGTTTTGTTTTCCTCTGTAAGATCTAAAATTGAAATTATTATTTCCAATCAAAATAATCGTATATGGAAAAGCCCTGACCACCACTAGTCAACTACCACATGTCATTTTGTGTTTTCTCTCTGCAGTATTCAACTCAAGCACTTAACCAACATGAATTAAAGTTAATAAGTCTTACTAATCTCACTTTTTTCCTTATAAAGCTTACTAATTTGAAATTAGTACACTTCAGAAGAGTAAATATGGTGATTGGTAGATCCGCTCGATTCTTCTCCCCTCTCTGTTCCAATTGCCCAAAAAAAGTTCCAAGTTGGGCGATTTGTGTATTGGGTTCTTTTGTTGACATTCAGTGGGGATGTGGTCGAAAATGGGCGAAAAGGAAAACCCCAAAGGCCAAAGGACCCACAATTCGTCACCGAGTTGAGAAAGTATTGCGGGAAGATGACGAATTTCAACAAACACCCGCACTATCTACTGCTTCTACTTGTATGGACTGTGCAGCCCAATCCCTCTCCCTGAATTCCGTTCTTTTCCCCGACTTCTCTCTCTCTCTCTCTCTGTATTATTTAGTGTAAGAAAATGAAGAGCAGTCTATTCTAAGTTTGGTGGTGTTTTGGGATTCACACAAACTATAGGAAAGATACCACCATATATACCAGTTGTCTGCGTTGATGATCAGAATTCTACTCTCGGGGAGGGGCTTGCTTAGAATTGAAGTATTTTTCTTTTATCACTTCGCTCTTTCCTTTCCTTGGGGAAAAGGTATCTTTTTTGCAGCAAGAGGGCATGGTGATGATGATGGGGTCGAGTAACTGCTGAGATTTTTTATTGGGACGATTGGTTATTATGCATTTTGAAGTAAATTGGTGGATTGTTTGTGGTTATCTTTTGGATTCATCTGGATTCTTTTGTTCCTCCTGAATCCTGGCTTGGCTTTTTAAGGTGAGGATTTCTTCTGTCTCCATCTTTCTGGGTTTGTTTTCTGTACTTTGTCTGCCAACTGTTTGATATCTGGTCTCTAAGAGAATCTCTGCTTTCTGAGGCTCAAGCTGAGTTCCATGGTGGGTCTCAGTCTCACAATTGGCTGTAATTTGCTAGTCAATGTTCATTTCTGAATACCCTTTTTGTTTTGGGTGAGAAAGATTACTGCTTTTCATCTTGTTGGTGAATGAAGCTACATTGTTTAGAGTTTTTGTGGTATGCTATGTCTTCCCAACTTTGACTGTATGGATTTGGTTCCAGTTAAACTCCTCTTCGTTAATTTTTTGGCCTTGTTGATATGTTGCTTTCCATCTTGCTGGCTATATGGAACAATCACCCCCACATTAGATACTGGGCGTGGAAATAGTTGATAACAGAAGCATGTCTCCAGTCCCTTTCTCAACTTTTCTTTCTCTCCTATGTACTGAATTGGTCTCTGGCAAATGGATAAAGGGTTGCCAGGCTTAGCAAGGAGCAATATCTAGGAAACGATTTCTGGTATGGGTTGGCTCACGAAGATTCTTAAAGGTTCTTCCAATAAAGGGAATTACCACGGGCATTATGGAGAGAACAGATACTGGGAGGAGCCCCGTCGGTCAGTGGTAATTGCCTCTGCCCTCTTACCCTTTGGTTTCCATGTTTTCATCTTTGACTTCATTGTGACCTTGTAAACTTCCTAATGCAGGACAATACATCAGACTTCGACAAAGAAGAACTAGACTGTGCTATTGCACTTTCTCTTTCAGAAGCAGATGACAAAGGGAAGAAGGTCATTGGTGAGTTTCATTGTGTGCAAATTTTAGGATTGGCTGCAGCTTCTACCCACAATTATTTTAAGTTGTACTAATCATTGTTTCTCTTGTCTTCTTCATCCAGAGGAGGATGATGAGTCTCTCCACTCACTGGAAGAAGAAGAAGAGGAAGAGGAGGAGGTTAAGGATACTGACCATGGAAAAGGCGTAGCCAAGGTGGTAGTGGAAGAAGATGATGACGATGATGATAACTTCAATGCTATTGCTAAAGTGGTGGAAGAAGAGAGTCGCACAAGAGCTCAGCTGGAGGAAGATGAACAGCTTGCCAGAGCTATTCAAGAAAGTTTGAAGGTGGAGTCTCCTCCCAGACCTAGATATGATAGTGGAGGTGCATTCCCACCTTATTCATTCTTCTTTCCGACCAGTGGTCACAGGTAGATTTTTCGCCTCTTCCATGAAATATAGTGCACAGTTCTGATGTAGGAAGCTTGTCAGAAACACGAGCTCTGACAAGCTTCTTGCAAAAAACAGTTAATGTAGTTTTTTGCCTCGAATTTTGGATGTTGACGTTACTGTGACCATATATGAATTCAGTCCACATTGACAAGAACCATATATCCAGATTGAAATGGGTTCTTTCACCATCATATAAGGCAAAAGTTTTGATAATGTAGTTGCAGATTCTGTATTGTTCCATGCTTGCTACAAGAAACTCATGGCTTTTGATAATCTGTGTCTTACTACTAGGATTTGTGCTGGCTGCAATGATGAAATTGGTCATGGAAGGTTTCTAAGTTGCATGGATGCTGTTTGGCATCCTGAATGCTTCCGTTGCCATGCTTGCAATCAAGCAATTACTGACTATGAGGTCCAGATTCTGTCTAGATTTCTATTGATTGCCTTTGAATATTTTGCCTTCATTGCTGATCTGTGAGCTTCTTTCCTCCTGCCAGTTTTCTATGTCAGGGAATCGACCATACCATAAGTCCTGCTATAAGGAGCGCCATCATCCAAAATGTGATGTTTGCAATAACTATGTGAGTATCTATCCAGTAGGACAGAACCTTCTTGATGTTAAGCAACAGTACCTTCGATTTAACTTACTCACCCTTCCACTTCTTGTTCAGATCCCTACAAACTCTGCTGGACTTATCGAGTACAGGGCGCACCCTTTCTGGCTTCAGAAGTACTGCCCCTCACATGAGCGCGATGGAACTCCTCGCTGTTGCAGTTGCGAAAGAATGGAGGTGAGTATAAAAAATCTGATAAAGCTAAGTGCCAATGCTGAAATGAAATAGGGATTTATTTCTGTTTTACTCATTATTTACACCTTGTGCAGTCTACAGACACTAAGTATCTATCTCTTGATGATGGCCGAAAGCTATGCCTCGAGTGTTTGGACTCATCAATAATGGACACCCATGAATGCCAGCCTCTTTACTTTGAAATACGGGAATTCTACGAGGGGTTGAACATGAAGGTGGAGCAGGATGTTCCTATGCTTTTGGTTGAGAGACAAGCATTGAATGAGGCCATGGAAGGGGAAAAGAATGTAAGTCATAATATCAGTGACTTGCAATTTGATTTCTAATATGCTACATTCTTCAACTTCTCCTTATTTTCCTTACTTCCTCTGTGCCACTAGGGTCATCACCACATGCCTGAAACCAGGGGACTCTGCCTATCAGAAGAGCAGACAATCACAACTGTACGATAGTCGTTTATCTACAACCATTTTCTATTTTCTAATGAAGGCATTGAGTTTCTATGAACGGAAATTCATTCATTTCATCATCCATGTGAACAGGTCTTCAGGAGACCTAGGATTGGTCCAGGCTACCGTTTCGTTGACATAATGACAGAGCCATACAGGCTAAGCCGCATATGTGAAGTCACAGCAATTCTCATATTGTATGGTCTTCCCAGGTACATCAGAGAATTTGAAATGACAAAATCTACTTCAACACTTCCTTTGCAATTCTGAGGCTAAACCATTGCTTTATGCAGATTGTTGACAGGTTCCATCCTGGCTCATGAAATGATGCATGCTTGGCTTCGCCTGAAAGGTTTTTCTATTTCCTCCCACGACCATCTCCCTTTCAACACTGCAAAAGGCTCCAAATTTCTTGTTTCAGAGTAGAGGTGGCAAGTGGGTTAGGTTTAAATGAGTTCGCTGGTCTATGAGTTTGGTTTAAATGGGTTGGTAGGTGTATGGGGATACAATGACATTCTCTTGAAAGTATGATGCTGGTTATTTGGAGGGTATATTTGCTGTATATCAGACGCGAGGGCCGTTTGGTAAATTTTAAGAAGTTCGATACTCTATCATAGAATGGCAGAGGTGAATGTGGATAAAACGGATTTGACTTAGATAAGTGGTTTGATATTTGTCCTCTCTATAGGGATGTATTAAGTGTTAAAGTTATGGGTTTGATGTTCTTTTGATAGGCTTTTCAAATCTAAGACCAGAAGTTGAGGAAGGCATCTGCCAGGTCTTGGCTCACATGTGGTTGGATTCAGAGATGTATTCTGGAGCCGGTCAAGATGAAGCTGAAGCCTCATCCTCGTCCTCATCATCATCCTCCTCGCCATCATCCTCATCAACATCTTCCAAGAAAGGGAAGAGGTCTGACTTTGAGAAGAAGCTTGGTGAGTTTTTCAAACACCAGATTGAGTCGGACACATCAACGGCTTATGGTGATGGGTTCAGGTCAGGAAACAAAGCTGTCCAGACATTTGGGCTGAGGAGGACCCTTGATCATATAAGACTGACAGGAAACTTTCCTGAGTAAAAGTACAGTATATATAGAGAGGAAGGAAACAAATGAGAATAAGAAGCTGAATTACCCACATTTGCACATATATATATCTCAGCGCTCCAGATGTTACCCTATAGCCTACAGGATTGGGAAAGAGTGGAAGGTTATAGAGGGAGAAAGGAAGGATACTTGTGTAGTGCCATGCTGCAGAAAGGCTGTGTAATTTCTGCAGGCTCTTCTGAATGTTCTGGCATAAAATGCCATGTGATGAGGTAATGACAACTATTTGTACTGAAGCTGTTGTGCAAAACGTTTGCATATATAAAGAAATCTGAACTTTTATCAAGTGGTTTATGTTTTTCGTTTTGTTTTTGGATGTATAATAATGAGACCTAGCTTGTACTGTAATGTGAACCAACAAACTGAAGGACACCTGGCGACTGGCTAGGAAGCTTCGAATAGCCGAATAGTTGTTGCCCCGCCTGTGATCTCCAACCGAAGCGAACCCCAAAAGCGTAGTTTTGTCGAGCAGCCACCGCCCACCGCCCCGTCGGACCATTTGCGCTACAAAATGAGGGTTTAGTTTCTCCGGTGAACGAATGCGAGAGAGTAGCCTTCCAACTCCTTAAACTAAAGTGGCAAACACCAGTTCCAGGGGCCAAGAGATATGGCGAGCTGGAATCCAACCGAATTGGCGGAGTTTGTGCTTCGTAATTCAACCCTGGCGGCAGCATTTCAGGATCCCGCATCCGAAACCGAAAGGGTTCGAGCCAGCTTTCAGTGGGGTGGAACCATTTCAGCTTCGTGAGTAGTCCTTAATTAACTACCACCTCTGTTCCAAAGTTGCGATCTTTAAACCTTTTTGATTGCCTACTCCCATGCTTACTATTGATGATCATGGACATGGCCATGGGTCCTGTTGATGAATGTTGAAAGCTTTGTTTAAAGGGAGGATTGGATTCCAGAGATTCGTCACCGTTCAACTTCTTTGTCGTTTGGGATGTGAAAGCAGTGATCTTTTTAGGAGTTTGTCTGTGATTTCACTTTCCACTGCATTAATTTCTTATTCAAACATAATTGTCTTACAGATTTCTGTTGGTCCTGAATCAGAATGGGAGGAGGCTCCCAATGCAGACGACATTTCTATTGGCGTATATGTTCATCAGCACCCCAGCACTTCTGTTCACAATCCTAAGGTTTATGTTCTTTTGAATCTTTTTTTATTAGGTGTAATTTTGCAGGTTCTTAATCTGATTCTTTTCTTCTTTATACCCAGAACTCAATTTGGATACTGGATAGGTTTTCTAGCTGTGGCATCAAACCTCTTAATCTCATTCCCTCAACCAATTCCAGGTTGTCCATCTGTATTATTGTCAATCCGAATCACTTCTACCGTTCACTTACTTGGGCTTTTTTTTTGTTGACAAAATTGGTTCCCTTCCTTTGAGTGCCTCAGTGTCTCGCTTGCTAATGTTCATCGTGACGCCTGACTGGCTGGCCAATGCACTTCGCAATTCCTTCTCCGGAGGTCTCATTTGCCTTGCAATCGGAGTTTCAGTGGTAGTAACAGAGATTAGAGCCATTGGAGAATCGAGAAACTGGAATTGCAGCTTGCATTGCCTTGGCTACTGCATTGCTATAGGTTTCCTCCTCTTCTTCACAATACTATACCTCTCCTTAGGAACTTGGCAATGAATCAAAAGTTTTTTTGCAAATTCTCCCCGTTTCATTTGCCTTGTAAAGCTCTTCAGTTTCTCTCACACTGCTCTTGCTGAGAAAAGGTTGAGAACTGCCCTTTGGGCCTTTGTAGTTTGGATGTCCATAGGATCTTAGAAAGAGCATAAAGATTTTCAAGTCTGATTTTTGATAGTTTATGGACCCTTTATGGAAATTTCTGTTCTGTTACTGTACTTGGCTCCTTTGAAAATTTGCATTAGGAAAAGTTCGCTACTTTGTGATGACCAAAAGTCAAACTTGGTGGCTTTGATTTCAACTGTTGGCCACGTCAGGGATAGAGTATTATGGGCCAGGACAAGTGGACAACCAACTTGGAATATTAGGTGGGTGTCGATTGTTCTTTTTGTTTGGTTTAAGAAATTTGCAGTCTGTTTATACAACATTATTACTATATATCTGCAGTTCTTCAGTCCTCTAATAATTCCCAACAGAATCAACACGGTTAGTTGTTTTATAGATGAGTTTTGATTTTGATATGTGTGAAATGGTCAACTTCATAATATTCCCTTTTGTTACTTGTTTACCCTTTCTTCTGAGATTTCCTTATCCTGAAATTCCAAATGTGACTTTGGGTTTCTTAGAAACATACCTCTCAAAGAAAGTTCAACTAGTTGACTTTCAACATCCCATTGTCTAGCCAGAGACAAGTCTTAAATTTCTCAACCTTGCAAAAACAGATAGAAATCTCCTCAATTTGCCACAATGGGATTCCTTCCATTTGGCTTCTGTATTCTCTTCTTGTTCTTCTTCTGTAGTGTTCAGGCTCAGCAAGCTTACATTGGGCAGGGGACAAACAACTGTTCGGTCACAACAAATTCAGCTCTGGGATACTCCTGCAATGGCGTCAACAGAACCTGTCAAAGCTACCTCACCTTCAGAGCTCAACCTCCATTCACAACTGTTGCTTCAATCTCCACCCTCATGGGTTCTAACCCGTCTCAGCTGGCAGCAATCAACTCTGTCCCTCAAACAGCAACCTTCAACACAAACCAGCTGGTTATTGTTCCTGTTACTTGCTCGTGTTCAGGTCAGTACTACCAGTCAAACACATCATACGTTGTTCAACCTGGAGAAAGCTTTTTCCTCATAGCTAATGATACTCTGCAAGGACTCTCTACTTGCCAAGCTATTAGAAATGGGAATAGTAGAACAACGGTCAATATATTTCCCGGTCAACGACTTAATGTTCCTCTTAGATGTGCTTGCCCTACGAGGAACCAAACTGGCCAAGGGATCAATTATATATTGAGTTATTCAGTCACTTGGGGGGATATGGTTTCAACGGCGAGTTCTAGATTTGATGGTGATACTAACTGGACTCTCCAGGCTAACGGACTTACTCAGCAGAGTGCCACAATCTTCCCATTCACTACCCTCCTGATCCCACTGCAAAACCCGCCGTCCAGTATCCAAACTGTGTCTCCGCCACCACCTCCAGCTTCCCCTCCTCCACCAGTCCAGCCTTCTACACCTGGCTCCAGCTCCAGCAAGACGTGGGTCCATATCATTGCTGGTGTTGTTGGAGGAATCGTTGCTACTTTGGCTATTGTTGGAATTGTGGTTTACTGTCTGCGGTTCCGGAGAAGGAAGGTGAAGTTGGAGCCGACTGGCACTTCTTCCGAGAGCTTTGAGGCTGCGGAGAAGAAGTCTACGAAGAATAAGGGAGAAGAAGAGCCTGATGGTTTCTTCTTGGAGAGGTTATCTAGTATTGCCCACTCCATCCAAGTTTACACATTTGAGGAGGTGGTGGCTGCGACTGATAATTTCAGCCCCAAATGTTTGATCAAAGGGTCTGTTTATCGAGGCAAGATTAATGGTGATCTTGCTGCTATCAAGAAAATGGATGGTGATGTGACGAAGGAGATTAATTTACTGAACAAGATCAACCATTCCAACCTCATTCGTCTCTCTGGTGTCTGTTTTAATGATGGCAATTGGTATCTGGTTTATGAGTTTGCTGCAAATGGAGCTTTGAGCGATTGGATCTATTCATCCACCAACGGTGGAAAGGCATTGACTTGGCCTCAAAGAATCCAGATTGCTGTGGATGTAGCTTTGGGACTCGACTATTTACACAGTTTCACGAATCCTCCACAGGTTCACAAGGATATAAAAGCTGGGAATGTGCTTCTCGATGGTGACTTCAGGGGCAAGATAGCAAACTTGACACATGCAAGATCGGCCGAAGGACAGGATGGGGACTTCAACCTTACAAAGCACATTTTTGGGACGAAAGGTTACATGGCTCCCGAGTATTTGGAGAACGGTCTGGTTTCTACAAAGATTGATGTTTTTGCATTTGGAGTTCTTCTTCTGGAGATGATAACTGGGAAAGAAGTTGCTTCCTTGTATAAAGAGGGAGTTGATGGTTTGTCTGGTGTTGTGAATGAAGTTCTTCTTTCTCAAGATGGTGGAGATAATATCATGGGATTTCTTGACCCATCAATGGAAGGGAACTTTCCATTAGAGTTTGCTGGCTTTGTGGTGAGGCTAGTTGAAGGCTGTCTTAAAAAGAACCCTGGGGAGCGTCCAGCTATGAACGAGCTTGTGCAATCTCTTTCAAGAATCTTGACAGCTTCACTGTCATGGGAGTTATCGAACAACATCTCAGAGTACAGGAATCTCAGAGATGAAACTTGACAAGTCGGCATTTTTGTTGTATTGTGATGTTTTTTTCCTGTCTTCTGATCTTTGTCCTTTGCATTTGGCGTATACATAAAAACGTTGGTTCATTTCCCCCTTTTCATAGTAAATATCTGTTTATGAGGCTATTCAGTAGCTGCTGAATTACTGCACTGACGATTTCCTGATATGCTTGCTGCCAGGCGTTGTTGGCTCTTTTTCGTCAACATTTGTAATCTTATTATGATCTAGTTAAAGAATGTGCCTTGTTGGGCAGAGTTGTTGTGACCTGAAATGAGGAGCTCTTTTCATCTTAGAAACAGTCTGCTGCAAAGAATTATTAACTGTTGTAAAATGTGGTTTAACAAATGGATTTCATCTTGAGAACTTTACTTCCTTTTCTTTCTGCAGAAGAATGACATGTTGCTGAGTTGGGGCGTTCTAATTTTCTGTCAACTGTTCATCTCTCAGCTACATCATTTGATTATTTTTCTGTTGAAATGGTCAGCTGGGGTTGTTCATATTCCATTCCGAAGTCGTTTTCAGTGATTCATGAGATAGTTGTGAGAGCGACTCCATACCTAAAACTCTGAAGTCATCCTGTAAAGGCTACCAATTCAAGGAGTCAGGGTCAGCACTCAGCTGGAGAATGGCTATTATTGTTGTTAATTTTTACTGCTAATATTATAGGGGAGCAAGACTTTTGAGCAGCAAATGTTTGTTCTTCTTCTTTTCAACAGCTTGAGAAGCTAACCCTCCGATCAAGAAAACAATTTTACCAAGTCTATTACCCACAAAACAAGGTTTGAAGCAGCAAATAGTATAAGCTCTCTTCCTGGAAATTTTCTCATTCTTCCCTACCTCCCAACTTTGGCAGGTAAACATTTACATCTTTGATTCTCTGTAGCCATGGAGTTATCTTCTTCTAATAGCATCTCAGAGTATATAAACTTCAGAAACGGCTCTGGACGAGTCAGCATTCCTGTCATGATATGGCTTCCTGTTTGTCCTTCTCATTTGCCGTCATTTTCTTAAGAAATACATTGTCCCCCTTGAATTCTTGTAGCATTTCCCTTTCCATATATATTAAATGGTTCAAGACTTCAAGTGGGTAGCACTGCTGAATTCTCAGTGGCTAATTCTAGAGTAGACATGCCTTTTGTTTTTTATCTCTGTAATTTTGTAATGATTCGGATTGTTTTTTCCCCTAAAAGATTGTTTTTATGGGGCAGAATTCCGGCAATGCAAGAAATGAGGTTCTTCTACCATGGAAGTAATCAATCCACTATGAAGAAACTTTGTTTTCTATAATTTGTTAGACAGATTTTCTATGAACTATATCTGGAGAAGTTTAATTATATCTGCAGAAGAATCATTATATTGTGGTTGCTGAATTCTACTTTTCTTCATTTCCCTAGTTGCTATTTCTGATTATCACTTTTGTGGAATTGTTCAAATGGGCTTTTAAGATCCCATTTCAAAAGTTCTTATGTCATCCTGGTGCAATGAAAGTAGTTGGTAGGGTTTTGCCCCTGCCAAAAGTTCTGATGTCACAATCCTGTCTAAACTTAACGACAATTCATTTCCCCCTCATTTTCAAAGGGGGGCAGCTGAAAATGAATGATTGTTCCTTTTTTATATTTGCAACTGGCAAGACTACCAAATTTGAACCCACAAAATGAGGTTTGATGCAGAAAGTTTCAGACTTTCTTGCTTGAAACTCCCATTTTCATTCATCTCTCCAACTTTTGCAGGAGGTTCAAGATGGATCGTTTTCTCCTAAGTTTCTGGCTCCTGCTCTTCTTATGTGCAGTTCCGAAGCTCATCATCTGCCAGCAGAGCTACTCAGGAAACTCGGCTCTCGATTGTGATGCCAAAGATGCAGCTGCTCCCTACAGTTGCAACGGTGAAAAGCCCTCCTGCAAGGCCTTTCTCATGTACAAAGCTCAACCTCCTTACAACACCCTCTCCAGAATCTCAAGCCTGACATTTTCAGATTCCATCGAGCTCGCCCGGATTAACAATGTCTCGGATCGCAAAAGACCCCTCCCAACGGGCCAAGAGGTATTGATTCCAGTAACTTGCTCCTGCACTGGTTCATATTATAAGGCAAACTCTTCCTATAGAGTTCATGCAGAAGACACTTACTTCAAGATTGCAAATGACACCTATGAAGGGCTTTCAACTTGCAACGTGCTGATGCAAGAGAACAGAAGATTCAAGGAGTCCGAGTTAGAAGCTGGTCAGAGAATCCAAGTGCCCCTCAGATGTGCTTGTCCAACTAGAAACCAGACTGTAAAGGGAACCAAGTTTCTGTTGACTTACTTGGTTGACTGGGGAGATGGAGTTGCTAACATCGGAGAGAGATTCAATGCTAGCAGACAGAGTTTGAATCATGCAAATGGGTTTGGAGAACTCGATGATCCAACCATTTATCCTTTCACAACACTTCTCGTTCCACTGCAATCTGAGCCGAATAGCTCTCAGACCATAATTCACTCTCCACCACCTTCTGATTCTCCTTCAGTTGTTCCTATCCAGCCATCCAGTGGGAAGAAGTCGAGGAAATCAAGACGTAGAAATACCGGTTGGATTGTACTCGGGGTTTCCTCGACAGTCCTCTCTTTGGTCCTAGCAGGGGCAATCATCTCACTGTTAAGAAAGAAGGAGGGTGTTGAAGATCAAAAGAAGAAGAAACTGGTGTTGCCTGAAGATTTCTTCGATGGCCACTCCACAGTTGACCAAGGGCTGAGAATCCATGATTTCGAGGAGCTAAAGCTGGCAACTGGTGATTTCAGTTCTCGGTTGAGCGAACGAGTCTACAAGGGCGTGATAAATGGACAAGAAGTAGCAATCAAGAAGACGAGTAGAAATGTTTCAAGCGAAGTGAATCTGCTGAGAAAAATCAACCATTTCAATCTCATAAGTCTTGCTGCTGCATACCAACACCAGGATGAATACTACCTTGTGTACAAATACATGGAGAACGGGTCGTTGAAGGATTGGCTTCAGAAAAAGGGCATTAGTTTAAATGAAGCTCGAAGTTGGAGCCGTAGGCTTCAGATTGCTTTGGATATTGCTAATGGACTTCACTATCTCCACAACTTCACTGAACCACCATATGTCCACAAAGATATCAGTAGCAGCAATATTCTGCTGGATGCTGATTTGAGGGCTAAGATTGCTAACTTCAGTCTTGCAAGGTCAGCTGAGGTGGCATTGTATGCAAGTTCTTCAATTAGGGTTGCTAAGGGTGCAAAAGGTTACCTGGCACCCGAGTATGTAGAGTATGGTTTGGTGATTCCTGAGATTGACGTGTATGCATTTGGTGTCGTTTTACTTGAGCTGGTCACTAGAAAAGAAGCAGTCTTTTTGGAGAAGGAGAGGGAGGTTCTGCTTTCAGAAGCAATTGTTGTGATCTTAAGTGGAGAACATTCAGAATCCGCCCTTTGTGATTTTGTAGATCCTGGTCTGCATCCAAAGCAGCAGATGGTAATCGTGCTGAGAATGATGAAGTTGATTCTAGCCTGTTTGGCTAAAGAACCAGAAGATAGGCCGAGCATGGGAGAGATCGTCTCTTCGCTGTCAAAGATACAGTTGGATGTGTATAGATCCGAGTTCATGTACTGTAGTAGTTCATAGTTTTCAGTTGTGTAAGGAGGAACAGAGCTTGTCTAGTTTTCCCCCTTGTTTTACAATTTTGAAGTAAGAACTGAACACTTGTAATTTCAAAGGCCAAGAGAGCCACACTGTACAGATTAACATTGGACTAGGCTTTTGTAAGGGAAATCATATATAACAGAACTTTATATACAACGGTTAACGAGCAGTAATTGGACTGATGATCTGCAAAAGCTCTTGTGCATCAAGCTTAGTAGGCCACACCTCTTCCAGAGAATCATCTAAAGGCGACTGTGTAAGCACTGTGAGGTTAAACACCACCTCTCCCATGCTTGGCCTGGCCGAAGATTTCTCGAAAGTGCAGGCCCTTGCCAAAATCGCCAAGCTCAAGGCACCATCAATGGGATACATGTTCTCCAAGTTAGGATCCATCCAGTTCCTCAACTTTTCCTCCCTTTTCTCTGCAACTTCCAACACAGTCTTGATTTCTTTAGACAACAGTACAATCTCCCCGCTGTCTTTAGTCACCATCGCCTTCTTGCCTGAAAGCAGCTCCAGCAAAACCACCCCAAATGCGAAGACGTCGACTTTAGGCCCTATGGACTCTTCCGCAAATCTCGCCATAGAGAAATTTGCCACCTTTGCCCTGAATTTCGAGTCCAGCAATATGTTGCTGCTCCTGATGTCACGATGAGCAATGCTCGGCTGTACATGTTCGTGCAAGTAATGCAAGCCATTCGCCACGTCTAATGCTATCTGCAGCCTTCTACTCCAACCAAGGAACGATATAGATCCTGAAGACGATGACGATGATGGTGCAGATTTTCTGAAGAGCCACTTGTCTAGCGAACCCTTCTCTGCATATTCATAGACCAAAAGGAAGTTTCCTTCTGGATGGCATGAAACACCCATCAACTTCACCAGATTAGCATGGTTGACTTTCTGCAGAATCTGCAGCTCTACAGTTGCTTCTCCTTTGAACTTCTTCACAGCTAACACTTGGCCATCAATGGTGGCCCTATAAACTGAACCTCCAATTTTGTAATAGTCATCGAGATCCATGGTAACTTCCAAGATCGTATTAACATCATAAATGGTTTGCTTGTTTAGATACTCTGAAACTCCTGGAAGGTAATCAACCTTCTTCTGCTTGAGTTTCTTTGCTTGTTGCATCATTAGCTCATCAGTATCTAGATTCGAGTTCTTGCGCACCAGGAGGAACTTCTTGTTGCAGCTGTATCGACAACCGATTAATACAAAGCCTAGATACAGGATCAGAAGGGCAGAAATAGTGCTTGCCACTATAATAATGATCCAATGTACCTTTGACTCTCTTGTTTTTGTTGAAGAAGGATTCATTGACTTAAGAACAGGTAAGCTAGTGACTGGGACCAGAACTGGATGGTTGATTGCTTCACTGAAGTTCATGTAGTTGTTTGCCAACAGAATTTCGTTGACTGATGAATCCAGCTTCTCAGCAACAGCCTGGAGAGTATCATCTATCCGCCAGACATAAGTGATGAGAAACTCGATTCCATTGTCGATCTGCATCCTGGAAGGGCACTGACAGAGTAGAGGGAATGTAACTTGGTCACCAGGATGGAGAAGGGTTGGGATCACACCAGGGTTTAATGCTTCAACGAGTTGCCAGTTGGTGAGATTCTCCAGTGACGAGATGGAGACCGAGTAGAAATTGTCGCCTCCTTTGATTTGGTAGGTGAGATTGGCGAAGGAATTGTTGCCTGTGCATCCACACTCTACAGGGATAAGCAAGAGCTGGTTCGGAACTAATGCTGAATCCTCAGAGGCCAGGTTGCTGGCAGTTGCTATTGACAGACGGCTGATCCCAAAGAGATCAGAGATGTTACCAAGGTTTAGAAAGTTTGGTGACTGGACATGGTAAGATAGATATGTCTTGCAAGGGTGAGTGGGTTCCCCAGAATGAGAGCAGGAGAAGTTGGTGGCTGCCTGTGATACACCAAGAGTTGCAGTGGAGCAACAAAGGAACAGAAGAAGCAAGACCAGTTGTGAGATTACCGCCATGGTTGAAGGTTTGGAAGTTGTGTTCAAAGTTCAAACCCATTTGAGCTTAAATGAGCTGTTACCCAATTCGAGGTGATGGCAAAAGCTAGCTGCTTGCTGTCATTATCATGTGTTGTTGCTTTCGGTCCCCTCAATAAACCAGACATTTCCTGAAATGTATATTTTAAGAGCTGCAGAATTTGAGTTTTGCTGCTGATGGCTGCCTTGACAATGACGTCCAGAGAGGACAGTGTCATGATCAAAACTGTGTAGCATATTCCTTTTTTTCCCGTCTGTCGCCTGGGAAAAGGTATTTCAAATCCTTATCAGCAGAGCGTTAACAACAACAATATTGCATGAAAACACCGCTACATTATTTTAACCAGAAACAGGCTTGGGACGGCAAAGCGTTAACCTTCATCCTGTTTGTATTTTGCCTAGTACAAAGGGAGGAATAATACTCCTACCGAGCCACCTAATGGGTAGAAGCAAAGCAAAATCATTATCCTACCCCTATTCCTACCTGACAGAAGAACATAAAAGATTAGAGTCTATCCCACAACCCTAAACATAAGGTTCTATGACGAATAGAGTTTGCGTAGAATCCGACTATATTTGGTTGAGTAAATTCATAGCAGCACAAGCTTTTTAGAATTGGTCAAAGACTACATGCATCAGGACTAGTAAGTTCCTATTGAGAAGGGAAAACCTGAAATCATGAGCGTCTGATCTCACGGCAATCCACGGGAAAGATGTCTGATATGCTGCGGTATGCTGGATCTTTTGAAGTATTACAGCTGGCTGGCTATGAAGTTTTCCAAAAAGACAAGAGAAATCAGCCAACTGATGCTTAATTAAATCATTTGATCAACCGTGCTTTACACGGTCTTCTAAATGCATGATGAGAGAGAGGAAACGACAATGAGAAAAACAAGAATGACTATGATATCTATATGAATTAGCGCAGGAAGTCTGGCACCATGTCTTCACCTTCACAGCTTATCAACATTCTCAGCAGAAATGGCAAAACAGTAATAATTCGCTTATGCTTCCAGAAATTAGAAGCAAACATATTACTTGGAAGAAGAGGATTCAATTGCTCTATCAAACGTTCCTTATCCAAATGCTAACATCTAGTTTATTCAAAACTATTTGAATAGATATCATAAACTCTAGTGAGATCAGCAGCGCTCACTGTCCATAAATGGCCTCTCAACACAAGTGGGAGGACTTGACTAATTTCTTCACAGCATTCCACAACACTAGCTGCCTCTTTTCTTTTCCCTTCCTTCCAGAGACTCTTCGCCAGTAAAACCTTAGTACCCAAATCTGGCATCAGATTTGAGTTTCTCATGTCTTCAAAAACTCTGAAACCAAGAGCAGCCCTGTCACATTTGCAATACGCTTGAATCAGTACTTTGAACATGTAACCATCTACAGCAACACCATTCTGCCTCGCCATCATAAACAGTTTCTGCACCGTCGTGACATCTCCTTGTACCCCGAAATGGTAGATCAACCCAGAAAATGTTTGAGTATCAGGGCATATCCCACAACTCAGCATCTCTTCAAGCACATCTAAAGCATCAGAATCTCTCTTGCACTTGGTCAGCGTTCGCAAGAGGGTTGAATACAGAATCATCAAGTTGAATTCGTTTATGTGACCACAAAGTGATCTATCCTCACGGAAGATCTTTAAAGCAGCATCCGGATACTTTGAAACACCATAGAACTCTATTATCAACCTGACGGTACTAAACGGCAATTCCATCCCTTCATTTCTTATCTTTTCTATGAGCTGATCAACCAGCTCAACCTTGCCATGTCGGGATAATAATGTTATCATTCGCTGTACTGTGTAAACATCGTGAGTGAATCCTGGCTGATAAGCAACCCAACAGAAGAAATCCCAAGCAGTTACTGGAGATTTTATGTTTCTGAGAATCTTACACACCAAACGAGTAGTCCAGACGAATTTTGCATCTTCCAATGTTGATACAACTTCAGAGCTCCATTGACTGAGAGCATCTGCTAAAGCTTTTGGATCTAACCATGGTTTCAACTTGACAACTTCATCTTCATTCTCATCATTGTCCTCCTCATCAGAGCTGTCCTGACAAGAAACGATGCTTTTGATTCGTTCATCAGGAAACATTTCTTCTCGAAGCTCAGTCGTTTCTTCCACAAATCCAGCCTCTCTTAACTCCTGCAAAGCCTTCAACATTGCACGGCCAGGGTACTTCCCATCGGCTTTCATTGCCTCAAACAGAGCTTTCACCTCGTCAAACCTCTTACTTTTCACAAACCCATTAACCAAAACCAAATACTGCTTCGAGGTCCGCTTGACCCTCATCCTTGGCAGCAAATCGAACACCTCCATTGCCGAATCCAATTTCCCAGACTCGACGAGATGCTCCATCATGACAGTATAAGTTCTCGAATTTGGAATACCCCCTTCATCAATCAGCTTGTAAAACATACTCACTGCCTCGGTATCATTCCTTCTCCGCGAGTGAATGTTCATCACAATGTTGTAAGCCTCGTTGCAAAGACGATCCTTCTTACCTTCTTTCTCTCTGTAGTCGTTCCACGTCGCGAGAACTGCCTCCATATCTCCTGCGGCGGAGTACCAGTACAAGAGGTTCATGAAGCTAAAACGAACGTGAGGATACCTCTCGCTGTTCTTCATGTCGTCTTCAACGAGGGACCTCAGTTCGTGGGTTCTGCCCCATTTGGCCAGAACCGTGGCTAACGCGTAGAGGGTAGACTGATTGTGCTGGAAATAAGGGACGCCGTTTTTGAGGACTTCGACGAGGGAAAGCGCAGAGTCGGCATTTGGTGCAGAACGGATGGCGTGGGTCACTACGAAGGGGTCCAGCAGCCGGTTGTTTAGTACCTGGAGGGGGAGCGAGGTCGGCGGCCTCGAGGAACGGAGATGTAGTCGAATGGAATCGATCAAGTCGGCTCGCCGAAGGTAATGGGTGAGCTTGTTGGAGAAAGGGTCGCGGACAAAGAAACGAACTTGCTGTCTCAGGATGTGGAATGGAGTTATGGTTCCCTGGAAAAGTATGAAACTCATTGCTGCAAGTGGGGGAGAAGCCAACTCCAGCCGTGAGAAGATTCAGGTAGTCACTGACAAATCGTCGAACACCTGGTGGGCGCAAAACAACCTAGGGGCAAACTGCTGCGCTGATAGACGATTCTCACTTGTCACTTGTCACTTATCATCAAAATTCAAAAGGAAAGGAGGCAGAGCACCGCTACTACTGGTACCGAGGAAGAACATTCATCTCCTGAAACAACAGATTTGGATGCCGAGATTAACATTGCTGAATCAGAGGTTGAAAATGATAACTGCTTTGCTTCACAAGAGAATCAGAACAGTGGATCCTCCTGAGCAGAATCAGCCTACCCAAGCAGCAGAAGAGCAGCAGTCTTTCAACGATTGGGATGAAGCCAATGCGATTGGGGACATTGAGGATCGTGTTCTGGAAATGATTGAGCAGATCTCTCGCTCGAATTACTCCGACAATGAAAAGGCGGCGGCAGCAGTGCCGGAGAGTGTGCTGGCTTGGCTAGCAGAGATGGAACAAAGTGTTCACGAGACAGTGAGCAGCATGAAGCGTGCCAAAGCAAAGGCAGCAGCTGATTCAGGGGAATGGAAGGTCGCTTATGTAAGGTTGGTTATAGGAGAACTGGAGCTGAGATTGCTGGACATGGAATTGACGAGGATCTCCGAGGAGGAAGAGGAGATAGAAGCTGAGCTTCAGCGATTGATGGATCAGAAGAGAGAGCTGTCGCAGCAGCAGCACTACGCAAGTTAAAATTCTCTGTCCAACACTAACTCTAACTCATAAAGCCAAATTTAGCTCCCCAAATAATTAAATATGACTTTTTAGCTTCCCAAATTTCATTTTCACTCCAACCCTAAAAAAAAACACTAAATTTAACTTATCACCTTTTTTTCAACTAGTTTTTTACCCGATCCATTAGCCGGAGAGATTTATTTTATAATTTATATTAATTAACTTATTTATATGTTTAAATCATTTTTAGATTTTCTAATTATTTTGTGATCTTTGATTGATAACAGAGTTTGTAATATGTCTTTATTGAAAACTTTTAATATTTAGCACACTCACTTGTGATGCTTCGGTTTCTAATCATAAATTATACCGCTGTCATGTCCCGTTTAGAACTTATGTCAAAATTTGTCAACCAAAACACTAATATTTAGCGTAAGCTAGGGCTGTTAATGAGCCGAGCCGAGTCGAGCTTTGCCTTGTTCATGTTCGACTCGTTTATAAACGAGCTGAGCTCAAGCCCGACTCGTTTATTAACGAGCCGAGTCGAGTCGAACACGAGCCAGCTCAATTATTAAATCTTGACACATTTTTAAGATCGAAAGTTCGACTCGAGCTCAACTTTTAGATAATTTATAATATAAATATCATAATATTTATATGTCATATGTGATACAAGTGATTACCTAATGTTATGTCATATATGAGACGTATATGCTTACATATACTCAATGTATTAAACACCATATGAGGTGATATATACAATTTAATGATTATATGCATCATTAACAAACCAACTCATAAAATATAGATTGATTTTCTCATAAGCTGTAGTCGAGTTAGCTCTCTAGTCACAATGTTGGGACATCTCATAAGCTCAAAACGAGACAGTTCATGAGTTGTATTAAACGAGCCACCTAATCGAGCTAGTTCACGAGCCAAACAAGGTAGAGCTCAAACTCGGCTCGTTTATTAACGAGCTGAGCTTTTTTTTAATCGAACGAGCTTTTATCGAGTTCGAGACCGAGTCGCTCACGAATAGCTCAGCTCATTAGCAGTCCTAGCGTAAGCCAACCTGACCCACACACACACACATCTATATAGTTCAACCTAGCGTGCGCCAGGAATACGCTATACTCTTGCGTTCACACTACCATATGACTATTGAGATTTACTATTTACACCCCAAATTAACCTGAATTTTTTTTAATCGAACGAGCTTTTATCGAGTTCGAGACTGAGTCGCTCACGAATAGCTCAGCTCATTAGCAGTCCTAGCGAAAGCCAACCTGACCCACACACACACATCTATATAGTTCAACCTCGCGTGCGCCAGGAGTACGCTATACTCTTGCGTTCACACTACCATATGACTATTGAGATTTACTATTTACACCCCAAATTAACCTGAATTTTTTGGGGTGTGATACTGTACCCTAACCTGGTGAATTCTAATCCCTAATTCACTAACCTCTAATTTATGCACATACTTCGTCATACCTATCTTCTATCGTATGTGTGTGTGTGTGTATAGTAGACTCAAAATTATCCAGATACTTTGTCAGACCTATCTTATCTCGCCTAATACTCATATTAAGAGTGCTACTTGCCTATGCCCCACACCCGTGATAGAGATCCCGCTTTTACCCCCATAACGTCAGACAACCATTGGAGGTTATGTACTATTTTGCTATTTTTGGGCTTCTTTCATTCTTATTTAGAACCGATGGTTGTGATCAGATGTATTTAGCCCCCGAAAGGGATTGGGATTTTAGATTCTTTGGAAATCTAATACACATTCATGATCCTCGAGTTTGGACGAACTCTTGACCAATGTTGTAAAGATTATGACTTTTTAGTGAGAAATTCTTAGTAAAGATACTTCAGTATTGGATCAATTTATTCATCCATATTGAAACTTTACACACACCGTAGCCCTCATGATGATTAAATTCTCTAATCGACTCATTTCCATTTTGGATGTTAATTAGTTTTTTTATCAATACACTTAAATTTAGTATATTGTACAATATGTATCAATTGTTAATTCTTGAAGTTTAGACTAAACCTCAACCCGTGGTCATTGTTTATATGTTGGCTTAGAATCTCAATCTAAGACACTCACACACTATCGAGGATTTTGGTCTTAACATGATTGTTGAATGTGTAATTTTCAAAGTTTTTATCACTTACATATTAATCATTCATAAAGAGTGTATACAATACACACATATTTCAAGTGCATTCAAAATGCCTTATCATTTGAAGAATATCGGTGAATTTCATTTGATTATTTGCATTAACTTATTATCTTATACAACATATATAAATTCGTGTTTCTTGAGTTTGGACGAACTGACAACCAATTTTGAGAGTTGAGATTATTGGATAAAGATACTTGATTGCTGGATAAATATGTTTATCCCAATGGACTATATTACTAAAAATTGTCAGCCTCTATTTGGTAAATGTCTAGGTTAATAGTTGATGAAACGTGATGTTTATCATAGATTCTTAACAAAGATTTCTCTAACATTCACCAATTTTATTTTTCAAGGAATCTTGTGTCTCATCCTAGGGTATGAAGTCAAAGTTCGTCAATAATCATACTTAAGTCATTTTAAAAAATTTGATTTATAATCGTCGATGATAACTCCAATATGAAAGAAATTTTTTAGCATGCGACTTAGGACTTTAATAGAGCATGTCCAATCAACATGATATAGAGCAAATATTATTAATGTGAACTTAGCACACATTATAAAATTATTGCACATGTGATTCCAATTCATATGAGGAGTTTAATGTAGAACATGATCTGAATGAATAATAAGACTTTTTTAAATAAATAAATAAATATAACTACTCAATCAAGATTATACTCTGACATTTTGCTAAATAATACTTATTTTTATTTTATAAATATATACTTTACGAATAAAAGTTGTTCCATTGCAACAAAATATAAAATAATATAGTTTATTTTTCAAAGGTAATTGAATGTCAAATGTTTATTTTCTATCTTTTCAAACATTATTGTTTATGTAACTTATCTTTTCAAAGGTAATTGAATGTCAAATGCTTAATTTTTTTATCAAAATGTAACTTATCTTTCAATTTTAGTAAAAATGAGTAGACAATTTACTTTATAAGGTTTGATCAGTTATTTTTTATTTAAACAAATGTGATACATGTCACTCTCTGTTTTATTATTAATATTTTGTTTACTTGACAAAAAAAAATTATTATTTATGTGTGTTTGGTTAAATTTATCAACATTAACTTATTATTAAAGTAAAAAATAATAAATGGATAAATGAAAAATAATAATTGGATAAAAGAAATAGAAATATTAAAGAAAAAAGAGGTAGCTCTATAAATACATTAATAACTAATTTTTTTGTTTGTAAAAAAGTTGTCAAACTTGACAAATTGTGAATCATCCAATTACTTATGTGGCAAGATATTGTTTTTGAATTGCCATAATATATAGTATAGATAGATAGATATAGATTTATTTGAATAAAACATACTTATTTGGTCTCTATTTTTTATATTCCACTTTAATTTTTTTATAGTTCGTTAATCTTTGAAAACAATTTTTTGGATGAATTTTTTTTAAATTCCAAGACAATTTTTTTGGAAGATTAGTCATCAATTTGTTAGCATTAAGTTGGAGATTAGCCATTAATTTGCTTCGCTGGGCTTAATCTTTATTATAGCATAAATCAGCCTCCAAATCTAAGGTCCACGTGATGGCAATTGTGAGTTGAGCAAAGAAAAGAAAAAAAATAGTTGTGGCAGACAGATATCGAACGCGTGTTCAGCGGGACCACCACTTTTTGTCCAGCTAAATTTGACATTTCAGCCCAAGAGAAAGCTAAATTTAGCTCTTTAAACAAACTTACCCAAATTTGGCAGCCAACTTATTTGTGGGTTGGAGCTTGAAAAGAGTCAAATTTGGCTTTTTAACATTTTAGCTCATTGGGTTGGAGCCAGCCTAAGGAGTGAATCTCTTCTTAGTCAGGTTAATCAAGTTTCTCAACAGCCAAACAAGACAATCCGAATCAAGGAAAAAATCGAGGCGCCAAGAAAAAAAAGAGAGAGAGAGACGAATAATGAATAATGCTACCTATCTTTCGATTCGTTCTCCCGCAGGCTCAGCGCGGACAAAGAAACAAACTTGTTGTCTCAGGATGTGGAATTGAGTTATGGTTCGCGGGAAGAGAATGAAACTTATTTCTGCAAACGGAGGGAAATTCTAGCCGTGAGATGGTTCAAGTACTCATCCCTGACAAATCGTCGAAACCTAGTGGGCGATAAACAACCGGAGGGGCGAACTACTTGCGCTGATTGTCACTTGTCAAATGAAGATTGAAATTCCCGCCGAGACCCTCCTTGAATTGAGATATAGGTTGGTTGATTTATTAGGTTTAGAAAGGCCTTGTTGATGTTGTTTGGCTGAGTATTCATGGGCCATAAAAACGGTTTGGCCCAACCCAAAGCCTATGCCTCATTAGGTTTCAGTTTCTTGTCGATGTATTAAATGTAAACCAACGATTTGCATACTGGTGAACTCGGAAACTAACAAATTTCTGTTTGGCAAACTTTGTCGTCATAATTCTTTGCATGCAATGGGCTTAATCCTGAGCATGATTTTCGTCGCTGACACCATCCTCCGACCACCGCCAACTGCTATTCCAGACGATACGCAGTCAAAATATTTCAACTCGAAAATTATATTCAATGGCTTCTGCATATATCCACCCAAAGAATCATGTTATGTTAATATTCAACAAATGCTTGAGTAAGCAGTATCTTCTGGATGCTTTATCGCTAATTTACATAGTGCATGATTGTGAAACGAAAGTAAAGTATCTCTATAAATAACATTTTGTTAATATCATTCATAAAAGTTAAAGATAATGCTGAACTATAGTTGTATAGTTTCACAATGTGTGACTCCAACTACACAATTGTTAGATGCGCATGAGATGCAATTGTACAATTTTCTTATTTTA